TCCACTCACCTTTTCTGTCAGAACAAAAGCATCCACAATGTCAACCACCTCCTCAAACACGCCAGGGAGATACGCACCCACTCGCTTCACCAGCCACTCCTCACCTGGGGCGGGAGAGAAACATGGCTACACGTGGGGAGTGACGGGCACCGGCAGAGCTGGGGGGCGCAGGGCTGGGCTAGCAGGGGGCTGCGGGTCGGGAGTGAGGAACGCCGGCAGGTCGGGGGGGCAGGGCTGGGCTGACAGGGACTGCGGGTTGGGAGTGAGGGGCACCAGCAGAACTGGGGGGAGCTCAGGGCTGGGCTAGCAGGGGGGCTGTGGGTCAGGAGTGAGGAGCGCAGCAGTCTGGGGGGGTGCGGGCAGGGCAGGGGGCTGTGGGTCGGGAGTGAGGAGCGCAGCAGTCTGGGGGGGTGCGGGCAGGGGGCTGCGGGTCGGGAGTGAGGGGCGTGGCAGGCTGGGGGGGGTACCTGTGACGCGCCGGGTCCCCTCCCGGTCCGTACACTCCTTGCGGGCCCGGAGCCGGATGGCCTGGTTGTGGCGGATGACGGTCGCCTGGCTGATTTCCACCACCTCCACCTCGGTGCGCGGGATGTAGGTGCCTGCGGGAGGCTGGCGTTAGCCGTGGCCGGCCGGGCTCCGCCCCAGCCCCCAGCCCAGCCCACTCACCTGGCCCCTCAAAGAGGAATTCGTCCCCAGCCACGTACTTCTCCCCCTGGTCGTCCTCAAAATCCAGCAGGGCCTTGAGGTGCAGGGCGGTGTCCGGCAGCACCACCTGCAGGGCCGTGATCCCCTGGGGGGAGAGGGGGGTCAGGGTGAGGCTCGGGGGCGCGCTGGCTCCGGGCCCGCCTGGGGCTGGGCGTTACCTGCTGGATCTCCTCCCCCGGGTAGAGGGGGAAGGGGGGCTGGCTGAGCCGGATCTCCAGGTCCGCGTGCCGCAGCAGCGCCTGCCCCGAGGCATCGAACTGCACCCCGGCACCCGGCGCCCGCAGCACAGGGTTCAGCACCGCGCAGTAGTGCCGGGGGGGCACCGTCACCATCTTGGCCGGGGGAAAGACGACCCTGCGGGGCGGGGGGAACACATCATGGGGGTGCTGGGAACCGACCCTGTGACCCCCCAGCCCCCATACACCCCGCCCCCTGGCCTCCCCCCGTCCCATCCCCTCCCAAGCAGCACAACCCCTCTGCCCCCCGGCCCAGGCCTGCCCCAGCTCCGGCGCCCCTCACCGCTCATTGTCCTGGCGGATGTAGGTCTGCGGCCCCACCTCCACGCGGGTCACGTTGGAGTTCTGGTCCAGCACGTGGATGTAGTGGTGCGGGGGGATGCGGATGATGGACTCCTCGGCCATGTTGGCTGGGGGGGGGCGGGGGATTAGCAGCCCCCGGATCAGCCCCAACCCAGCCCCCAATCCCAACGCAAATGGAGCAACCGGCCCAGCCGTGTTCCCAGAACCCTCTGCACTAGGGCCCCGCTCGCGGCTCCCTGCCAGCCCCAATCGGACCTGACCCACGGCCCCGGGCACCCACACTAGGATCTCCGCCCCCCCCCGAGAATTTCCCCTCTGGTGAGAACCCGCCCACTTTACAGCCCTAATCCCAGAGCAAACACAGCAACCAACGCCCAGCCGCGTTCCCAGAACCCTCTGCAGCAGGGCCCCGCCCGCACCAGGACCGACCCCCCCCCATATCACATTGTCGGGGCACCCGCGCCAGGGCTGACCCCCCCATCCTGCACCTGGGGCGCCCGCACCAGGACCACCCCCACCATATCACACTCTCGGGGCACCCGCGCCAGGGCCGACCCCCCCATCCTGCACCTGGGGAGCCCGCACCAGGACCAACCACCCCCCCCGATATCACACTCTCGGGGCACCTGCACCAGGGCCGACCCCTCCCCTGTCCCGTGCCCGGGGTGCCCGTGCCAGGACCGCCCCCCCCAATATCCTACACTTGGGGCGCCCGTGCCAGGACCGACCCCCCCCATTGCATCAGTGTCAGGGTCCCCCCAGTACTAGCCCCGGGGTTGCCTGGTGACCATCTAAGCAGTGACTCAGGTTTGCGGGGGAGGGGGGTGTTTGGGGGCAATCCCCA